GGGGGAAGCTGGCATGCCCCGCGCCGCCACCTTGGGGTGCGGAAATGAGCTGCTGGCGCTGCCTATCGGTATCGCCGCCATGGCGGCCGCCTGCCCCGGGCGGGGCCGGGCAGGCAGGGCGCGAGCCTCAACCAATCCCCAGAAGCCGTTAACGCGCTGCCCGTCCATTCGCCCACCCCCGCGCCCGCTCCTCTGCTGCCCGACCCGCCCGGCCCAGCTCGGCCCGGCGGGACAACTTTCCGAAACAACTTTGTCCGGCCGTGGAGCAGCGGGAGCGTGAGCGGGAGCCCCGTGGAGGGAGGTGGGACGAGGCACTGACTGGCCGGGGGAGCGGGGGTGGTGGTTGGAGGTTTGCGCGGGGGCTGGCGGGAGCCTGCTGTGCCGCCGCCCTGCCGGCCCCCTAGCAATCCGGGGACAAGGTTGACGGCGGCCTCGGAGTATCAGGCAGCGGCCGAGAGCGGGCGGCTGATTGCGTTACAATGGAGTAAGCGTCGTCTCAAAGGGTGAGGTGGGGTGAGGCGGGGCGTGGCGGGGAAGCGCCACTAGCTGGGGCCCCAGCGGCGGTGGCGTGTAGAGCTGGGGAGTGGTGCGGACCATGCCGGTGACATCGGCTGGCACTGGAGGCCGCCCTCCCTCTTCCACCGCCCTGCCCCGCCCCGCGCGCGAGAGCACCGGGGGATGACCGACCACCACGGGCACAACCCTCCCTGCCGCACGGGGTCCGCGCACGGCCGGCCGGCCAGGGCGGCGGGCAGCTCGAGAGAGAGATATAGTTTATAGAGCGGGAGATAAAGGGAACGGGGCGAGGGTCCGCAGCGTGACACGGCGCGGCGGGGGCCGCCCTAATTGGGTGCAGTGGTCACTGGTCCAGTGCCATGAGCGGCCATGACGAGATCTGCGGCAGGTTTATTATTGCGAATCCCCCTTTTGCTAAATGAAAGAGGGGATGAAGGGGGAGGGACCAGCCAGCGTGCGAGGGTCGCCATAGCAGGCTGCTGGAGCGGAGCGTTGCCGCGCGTGGTGGTGGTTTAGAGAGAGGGACGTTTTTGGAAAAGAAACAAAAAAACAGTTTCAACTACGGTGGCAAAGTCATGGATGAGGGTGGTGCGCTCGCGGTGTGTGTGTGTGTGAGAGTGTGTGTTACGTTACAACTTTGCTGCTCTGAATTGGATCCACTGCTCGGCCCTTGACCGCACTGTACCCCCTCCCCACTCTGGGCCCCTTGCCCCGGCGAGCCAAGTTACCCCCCTCCTCGTCCTCCTCTCCCACCCCTCCTGCACGCCATTCCGACAACGAAGGATATTTACGCTTATGCAAAGGGACCTGTTTCTCGGGAATGTTTAGAGGAGATAGCGGCCGACTGGTGGTGTAGGGGTGCTGGTGTGTGTGTGTGGGGGGGGGTGGGTATGGTGTGTCGGCGCCCATAGCTGGTGACACACAAGCAGGGGCGCCGGTGTTATCTCTTTGGGCTGAGGGGTGAGGGGCTGGCGATATAAATTGTCCATGTCGACGAACGTCATGGCCACACAGCATGATGCGTTGCTTCACGCTCCCCTCCCCCTTTACTAGGATGAGCCACGCTCGGAGTCACACAATGGGGCGGAACGATTTTCATTTTTTTTGTCCCCGCAATTTCTCATAGCCGTGAGCTGCTATTCGGCCGCGCAGCTGGTATATGGGACCCTCCTGATGGGGAGGCAGGTGTTGTGTAAGGGGGGG